TCAATTCATCCAGATTGAACAAATACTTCTCTGAAAAATCTGGTCATTATCTAATTGATTTCCACTTTTTATTCTTCCCACACAATTAAAAAAAAAAAAGGAACATTTAAATCGATTCACAAAACAATTTAAATGGTATTTAATTTATACGATACTTTTTATTGCTATTTAATTCCAAGGGTAGAACGTTTTATTTAATTTATGCTTATGCATAATTCATACCATCGAGGGTTGGAATAAACTACATTTAATCGAAAATCCATTTTTCACGTAAATCTACATATATCTTGAAGTTACATCGAAGAAACTGTTAATCGGTAATCGATGAGTGGTATCGAGCAATATGCACATAGTAATACACGCTATAAAATAAAATGCAAAGAATCTAGGGATCCCTAACTGCGTAGAAAACAAGGATTAACAAATTGTTTGAAATTCATAGACAGGGAAAAAGCAAGATAAGAGGAAAAAGCCAGGATTGTTCATGGATTTTCGAGCTGATCTAATGATTGCTGCTCGTATCATTTGAAATAACAATAAATACGAACGAATTACCGACTGTCGATATGCGATCGTTATCTGATTCGTCGGTTCAATTGTTCAGAATGATTCGTTGCGCATGTATAGATCTCGATGTCTACATGTTTCGCGTATTCATAGTGAAGGTTTCACGCGTAACTAACAGATATTTGGAATAACATTTTAATCTATTGATCAATAATTCGTGGGAAGTTTAACATTGTCAACAATATTCGTTACAAATGTATTGGTGTATCAGTTTTTATTGAAGTGAAGCTTTGCAGTAAATAATTGAAATAAACAATTGAATGATAATTATTTAATAAAGTAAATAATAAGAACGAAAGTCTTTTTGTATTGTTTATAATTTTTGATAATTAAGAAAATTTTTGTTATAATTGTATTAGTATTTTTTAGTAATTTTTTAGTAAATTGAAACTTTGCAGATTAGATAATTGAATGATGATTGTTTAACAAGAAATAGTTTTCTTATGTTATTCATAATTTTTGATAATTAAAAAAAATTTATAGAATTATTTAATTTTTAAGAGATCATCAAAAGAAATTATGGAAACAATATCTTTTAAGGAATGAAATTTCATTTATTTTATCTTTTAAGTTTTATTGATGAAATCTAAAGATCAAGAATTATTTTTAAATATTGTAAAACATTCAAATATTATATATTATTATTCTCATTAACTTTTTACATCTTTTATGAGCAATCATTTTTTTTTTGTTATAATTTCTCAAAAATCTGGCAAACTTTCTAGGATATTTATGAAGTTTTTTTATTATATAATTGATTCCATAAATGTTATTGAATCCATAAATGTTAAATCAAGTAAATTTATCAATAAAAGATAAAAAAATCATCTCGAAATTCAAAAATGAAATTTTGTTTCAAATATTTAGATATTTTAATCAATATTGTATTCACAATCGAAATAAAAATTTAAACGAAATGTCAATTTGCTTTAATATAAATTCAATCAAAAATCATCAAAAAATTTAAATTTCATAAATAACATCTCACATATTTATATACGAAATAATTGGACATACGAAATATAATTACAAGTTTTTCCGCTTAAATATTCTCTACAGATATAAAGACTCGTTTCTAGGATCATTCTAATTTGACCCACCCCATCGGGATGGTTGTGGCTTTACGTCATTAAACTACATATTCCTCGAAATTTCCTACATGTCAGGCTCTTCTCACTTTCCGTAGCTGAGAATCGTGGCTCGGTTCTTCTCTCTGTTCCATTTTCATTATCTCTCGTCCGTTTCACATTGCTCGCACACAGAGGTACGACATGTGCCACGAAAACTCATTTGACCCCGTGCCCAAACACCGCAGTTGCGATCTGTAAGGGGGAGAGAAAGGAAAAAAAAAAGTATCCTGTATCGTTGACTCGCATCCGAACGAACGTGACGTGTGCACAGATAAGACATACGGTTAGATTGAGGTCCACGATACTTCTCATGTTTGACTAGTGATGCAAAATGAGACGTGGAAATACATCGAGGGTTAAAAGTTGGTAGGATAAGAAAGGGCCCAGGGAGAGATATGTTCTTTGAAAATGGAAAAATACTGGGGAGGGAAGGGGGGAAAGGTGTTACTTAAGGAAATGACGTGAATAATAACTGCAGGGGGAGGGAAGGTGGAAGAGTTTTTTGCACAAACTGATAGGGAGAAAAAAGTGTTTCTAGGATAATAAAATAAATGACAAAATGCTAACTTTTGTGTTGTTGATGATATTGGTGATTATAGGATATGTCATTTAATCGATCTGAATATTTTGTTATCAGTCATCAGTATTATATATATTGCCTAATGTTTTTTGAGATACAATTCTATTTTGTAATAGCCAAAGTATTTGCTAGATTTTTTCTTTTTTATAATTGTATAAAATTTTATTTTTTTTATAATAGGTTAAATAAATATACAATACGACGGGAATTAAAAACAAATATTGAAAATCTGTAGAAAGAATAATACGTGTATATTTAATATATCTATGTCATGAGAGTTTTTAAGATTTTTTTCGTGAATTGTGAATTTTTTATAGTGAATTGTTTATATTTATTGTATTTTTAAATAATTGTATTGAAATAAATTTAAACGCTGAAAATTTCTATTTTAAAGTTTTCTATATTATTAAATAATTACATGTAAAAATAACTTGAAAAAATCTTCGATTTTCTTGGAAGTTACAATCCAAAGGTTGGAAGTCATGCTGTACTGGAAAATTTTTCAAATAAAAATTGAATAATTATACAAGATATAATATATATAATATATTATAATTTGTATATATAATATTTATATTTACAATATATTATAATTTAACTTGTTTAAATAGAAATATAAAAGATATTTTTTAAATAAATAATTACTATAAATAACTTATTAATTTTTTTGTTAATATAAAAATATATATTTTCATTAAAAAAAAATTAATCTTCACATATGTATTAATATTTTATATATTTTTACTAATAATAAGAAAAAAGTAAAACCATTCAATCATTGTCCGAAATATTTTTAAATTTTAGATTATAATATCAATTCAAATGGAACATTTGTTTGAAGAAAATATCTATTGTTTAAAGAAAATATAATAAATATTTAAAAAAAATATTTGAACATTGTATTACAATATAAATGTAAAAAGCATATTAAGCAAGATTGAAAAGAATCGTGTGAGTCAAATAAATGGGGGTTAAATTAAAATGGGTATTTTCTTGAAAGAATAGAATTATCATACATATATTCCATTGTGATACATATAAAATATATACATATAAATTCATTCATCTTTATTATAAGATTAAAATATTGTGAAAGTAATATAATAACAATAGTTATACGGAATATTTTTTTGTCAAATTTTAATGTATATGAAAAACAAATTTTTTATTAAAATAATATAGAAAATATTTATGAGATTGCTTATTGAAAAATGACGAAAATTTAAGTGTTTTTGTTATATATTATAGTTTTGTATATATTATAATTTCATGCTTTGATATAATTTAGAATAATGTGGTCAATCTCTACAATAAATTTTTTTTCACATTACAGAAAATTACGAAGGTCAAGAGAATGAAATGCACAATTGTCGCGTGTCACATGAATGCAAAAATTTAATTTACGATTCTATTGCAAAAACAATTGCATGATGAAAAAGTATTTATATAAATTTTTTTGAATATATTTTATTTAAGCGATTTTTTTATTTGATATATATGTAATATATTAATATTTAATACAGATATATACAAATTTTATTTTTCTTTATTTATTTATATGTAAATCTATTTTATAAGCAATTATATATATAAATTTAATAATCTTGAATTTTTATATATTATTTTTAATCATAGGAATAATTATATTTAAATAATTATACTTAATTAACTTACATTTAAATTAATTTAGGTCAAAAATTATATTCAATATTATTTATAATATATTAATAATATTAAAAAAAATTCTGCTTAAAATAACAATGTTAAATAATTTTTTTTAAAAAAACATGAATTATATTTTATTTCTATTTCTAACATGGGACCTAAATATTATTCTTTTAGTAAATTATAAAGTCGAATAGTCTTCAATCTTCAAACATTCCTTTCAACATAAATGAATATCAATTTAGATGAAAATCAATAATAAAAGGATGCAGCGATTTCAATAGCATTCGCAAACGAATTCATTTCAATTCGGTGTCTTTATCTGGTTTATATATTTGCTCTTGGGGACAAGCCATTGCTAAAAGAGATATTTCTCTCTACTATTTGAAATAATTCCAATTAGCCTGACCTATTATAATCCTGTTCACGAAAATTATTTCATGTAAAGAATAATGCGACTGAATTAATTCTTGTAATATAAGCTTACTTGCAAGATATATCTACTAATTTGCAGTTAATTAATTCTTCGAGTATCAAATTTTATAAAAAGAAAAATTCTTTTTTATGAATTCTTTATTAATTATTTATGATAAAAGCATTTTTTTATAATATATTTTCTTTAACAAAGAAAATATAATCAAAAAATATATTCATTGAAAAAAGATATATTTACTATTTAACTTATAATACTATCTTATATATTATATATATTAATCCAAGTGTCCAAGTATCCAGTATAAAATTTTATATCTATTTTTCATAATTATTATTAAGGATTTTTGTTAAAAATAGAATATTTGTTAAGGATTTACATTTAAAATTTAAGAATTATTATTAAGAGAGAGAAAAAGAGAGAAATAAAGAGAATTAAAATTGAAAATTTAATAATGCTATTTTTGGATATTGATATAATCTTTAATCTTTCTTTAATCTTTTTTTAATTATAAAATATATTATGAATATTAAAATGAAGATTAAAAATATTAAAAATACAAAATTATTTGAAATATTTGATTTAAAAATAAAATATACTACAATAATTATTGTATTCTTTTCAGAATGCTCAAGAGGTGATTGGTTATTAAAGTGAAGGTGTCAGTGGTTTTGAAAGTTACTGCCACCGCAATTTTTCGTCTAGTGAAATGGAGATAAATGGGACAGACAGCAGCCTAAATGGCACCGAAGCTAATCGCACTACTTCTCCTGTCTTCATTATTAGCACGCGTTATATGACACAATGGTGAGTATATTTATAACTTTATACTGTATATGTTATATCCTACTTTCAATTAAAGGAAAGATATATAATTAAAAATCAAATACAAAAATCATAAAACGAAGACATATAATATATATATAATTAAAAATTTTCTATTCTTAATGATTAAAATAATAACTCGTATAATATTTGACATTTTAAAAAATGAAAAATAGAAAAAAAGCAAAATAAAAATTGCTCGCGTTTTAAACTCGCTTTTGAAATGTTAAATTGCAACTACTTATATTCTATGTATAAAATTCGGTGAGAACTGCATAATTAAAAAAGTATGTATATATAAAAAGTATGTATATAAAAAAGTATGTATAGCGTATAACTCTATAATATGTTATAAAGGAAATTAGGTTTTAAAAGCTTGAAAATATTTTCAACCTTGCAATGGAAATTTAAAAATTTTTTTAAATTGTCAGAATATTCAAAAAATAAGTTATAATAAACTCAAATAAAATTTTATTGCAATATAATATAGAAGTTATATTTTTAATAAATATTGTAATAATATTCAAATATTATTAAAATTATATGATTAATTTAATATTGAGAATTATTTAAATTTATTATATTTCTAATACTGCCTCTAAATATGTACAATTTCTGTCAAATTAATTTTAATGCTACAAAGATTTAATTTTAATTTAAAATTTTAATTTCTTGTTTTCTAAAACATATTTTCCATTGATTAAATTTAAATATTATTTCTATTTTTATTTAATTATGATATATTTTCTTTCAATCTCCTATATTCATTGAGATTTTACAATAAATAGATGAAATGATATTCATATAAATATTAATTAATTTTCTTCTTTAAATTATTATTATTTAATTATTATTTAATTATCGATATTACTTAAATTATTATTAATAAGAATTTGTTAAAAGTAAAGCAATTATATATTATTAAAAAATTTATTAATAAAATTCAAATTTTAATTTATCTAAAACACTATTTCACGTAAAACGAACATTTTATTCGCCATTAAGTATCATAAACAGTACAAAAAAATTTTATCCTTATCCTTTTATCTTAAATGTATACTCATTATATTCCTAATGCAAATTTGCAAAGCTAAAAGATAATAGATTCGAAGATAGAGAGCGATACTCAATTACAAACTCTTTTTTAATATCGTTTCAATATTGCTTATCAGCACAAAATATCACATGGTATCGTCAGATTCCTATCTAGTCGAAGAATCACCTAAGTTAAATTGTATTTGTATCTGTATTGAATGATAATAATAAAATTATATATATATATATATATATATGATACTATCAAATTTATTCAAATGGATATTTGATATGTATTTAATTATTTTTTTAAACTTTTTTTTTTATTATCTGATCTAATTTTTTTTTTTTTGAGCTTATAAATCAATTATTTTCAACCTATAGATCGAAATTTCTAAAGAAAACATGAAAATAAAGTAATTATTTTTATTGTTTTTAAATTTTAATGTTTTTAAATTATCCTTAATTTATTTACTTAAAGAAAAAAATTTCAATTTATTTAAATGTCTATTATTAATATAAAAAAAGATTCAAAAAAGATTTGCAGAAAATATTGCAAAATAAAGCATTGTTTAATGAAATAAATAATATTAATTTCAAAGAATATTTATTTTTCACAAAATTTTTTCAAATTCCATTAGAAATATTTCAATCTAACATTTACGTATGATTAAATTAATTATATTTAATTCATGTGATAATAAATTTTAAATCTATTTTATTTTTTTATAAAATTTTTATAAAAACATCTCACTGTTAGTAATAACATTTTACAGCTAGATATTCGTAGCGATTCCAATCTTCCTGCATCAAGTAGCGACGACGTGTATTTATGGAATAATCATCTTCGGTTATTTACTTCGCTCACTAGCAAGTATCTAGTGCTTAGTACACGCGAAATTTTCGAACTGTTTCGCTTAAAGATATGAAGTTACGGAGCAATTTAGCAAGAGGTACGAGGAGAGGTATTTATAAATCTGAATTATGTTCTGAAATGGATATGAAAGAAATGTTGACCTACATTTTCTTTAACATTAATACGCTATTAGGACTTATTAAACGATCTCGATCTTGATGCTCGGTTTATCATGATGTAACGTTCAACGAATTTTAGCAGAGAATTTTATTAAAAAAAATTTTGAATTTTTTCTCGTTTTAAATTATGATTTAATTAAATTTTTAAATTAAAATTTAAATTTTAATTTAATATTTCTTTAATTTTCTTTATGATAAGATATCTAAAATATTAATCATTGTCTTTTTACGTAATTATTCCTATTACAAATATCAATTTCATATTAGTTGGAAATTTTATTTTTGTAATTTTTGTAAAAATGTAATTGTATTAATAAATATTTTCTTGGACTAATGTATTGTAGATAGAAATATTTATGTATTACAAAAGAGCTTACAGTTTACATTATTTTTTCATTTACAGCTAATTAAACTAATATTGTTAGTAAAATTTTACAAATTTCTAGTACTATAAATTTGTTTTTTTTCTTCCTATTATGATTCTTCTATTTTTTAACAAGAAAAAAAATATATTTTATCATTTAAAACTTACTACTTATCAGCGTTAATAATTCACATTTACAAATTTCATAATAAAAAAAGTTTTTCGTAAATTTTAAATTAACTTTAAATTAACTCTGCGATAAATTACAAAATATTTAATCGTTTGTAACAATATTACAAATTAATTATGTTATCTTGCATGGTTAAGGCGATAAAATTGGAAAAATACAATATACGAATCATAAATTGAAAATTATACATACATTTGCCATTTACATACAATTTACCATTTCTTCATTTTTCGAATTTCTAATTTTGACACGTGATCTATCGTTGCTTGCTCAAAATGTTCATTATTCAAGATTAATAGCGTCATGTGGTTTCTCTCGTACAGCCGATATTGGTTGTCCGTGGAGATGGTTAGAAAACACCAAGGTTGGAGGAAATGAATTTTCTTGGGGACCAAAACGAAGGCAAAAATTTCTTGAGAGTCTTGTTCCTTTTCGAGACACCATTGTTCCTCTGGTCGCGCTTAATGAGTACGGCTGTGCATGCGGTAAATGGAGTATTCGTTTGCCTCTTGTTGCTGTTAAAAGATTTCTAGAACGATGCATCCTTTTTGATATGAGAGTAATATATCTCTGAATATTTTACGTTCATTCGCCAATATATCTTATATTTTTTTAAAATAAAACTTGAACAAAATATTTTTATATACAGAAGAAACTTCCTTTATCCGAGTTAATAGTATTTGGATAAGAAAAGCTTTGGATAATGGAACAGATTTTTTTTTAGATAAATTATTCTATTATTTTGAGGGAAATATTAATCTGATTTTAATAATACACTTATTTGCAACAAAATTGAGATAATTATGTATATAAAAATACATTATTTTATTATAAATACTTAGAAATTTAATACTTTTTTATCTGCTTAATTATAAAAAAAAATTTTTTGTGTGAAATGTAAAAAGTTAAATAGTATTTATTCTGAGGTTTGTATCATAAAAGTTCTTTTTTTAGTATCTTGAATGATTTCAAAATTCCTGAAAAGGAAATATCGAAGTAAATTTCGATTTCTTTTCAATGTCTAAAATTAATTTCAAATTAAATTCTATTTTCATTGTTAAAAAAAGTCACTATACTGGATAAATGTAATATTCAATTCAAATAATAAAATGTTTAGTAAAATAATAAAGATTTTATCCATAATTGTTTCATTTTTATTTTCATAAATTTTCGATTTTTATTACAATAATTACTTAACGAAGAAAATTATTCTTTTTTTCTTTGATTAAAATAAAAAAAAAATTTTTTAAAAATCTTTTTTTTTCTTTATAACATAATGAATAAGTAATATTTCTTGATTAAACTAAAATATAAAGCTTGCAAATATAATTACTATAAAAGCATCATGTCAAAAGATAAATACATGTATCATCATTTATAATTATTAAATAAAATAAATTATTATAAAATCTATTCATGTAAATATATTACCATTCTAAGTAGAACTTAAAAGAAAAATAATAAATAGCTTTTTTTTTATCATCTTGTGTACTTATTTTCCAAATTATGATAACACCGTTGTATATCCAAATTTCTTGTGTAAATATTAACAGGGCTTAGCAAGTTTAAAATTTTACACCAGAGATTCGCTTTGTCAGTCTGCTGTGGTCTGATAGGACACATATACGGGTGAATTGCAAACAGATACCTACAACGAACGTTCGTTTCAAAGGACGGCCTCTGCGTTTTCCGATAATGCAAGCGGTGTACCTGTGAAAGGCAATTACTATCGAGAACAATTTCTTTTAAAGGGGATACTTGGCCAGAATATTTTCTCCCTTCTTTTTCTTTTTTTATTTTTTTTTTATTTTTATTTTTTTATTTTTATTTTTTTCTAATAAACAAACGATATCAAGCAAGAAATAAATTAGCTTTTCAAAGTCTCGCAGCACAACTATTTTATTTGTCTGCTATATATATGTATAATTATATAGAAAAGACTATAAATTTATATATTTATATTATGCATATTATACGTGTATGGCATATCTCTCCACTGAGACGAATAAATGCTATTTTTAATCACTCTTTTATTCCCTTGACCGAGATAGGTTAAATGTATTGGAATTTTTCTGGAGCGAATATTTCAAATGGAAGATTGCATTCCAATTAATATAAACGAGTAAACGAAATCGGATTCCATGAAATTCTAGAAAATTGTATTGCGATGCTCGAGTTATGCTGCTTCATTTACAGTTACTTACATTTATTTTTTATGGCATTATTCATATTTTGAATCTTTCTTTACCTCTACAAGGTGAACAGAAATGATCGATCACTCGAGATATCTTTTTAACTTACTTTTTCTTTTCTAATAGTTTGTTTATTAAATTTACATATTATTTATTTATTTTTGAT